GCTTGGGGGCCATATCGCACGCCTCCAACCGATTTCATCGCTTCACAGAACATTCCTGATTCACAGGTCTTCTTCCGTGATCACGTCGAAAGCCCAGATTGGATTCAAGAACTGGCAGTTCATCTTGCGCAGTCTGTTCCCGAATACATTATCCTCGCTGCCTTGGTACCGATTCTGAAGAATGTCAAGGGATTTGCGCAGGATTCGTTTCCATTCATCGTCCACTTGGCTCTATACAGCCAACTTGACAAGCAGCACGTCATCAAGCGCAACCTCTCTGAAGCCACGAAAGAGTGGCTCAAGATTCAGGACGAATCTGCTCGTACAAACCAAAAGCATCTTATCAACACTGTCTTATATTTGAGAACGCAGCAGCTGCCTAAAGAGACATCCATAGCAGATCGTGCTATGTGGCTGGACGTCGACTTTACTTCTGCAGCTGCGGCCGCCTCGCGCTGCGGTATGTACAAGACCGCGCTTTTGTTTACTGAAGTGGCCGCATCCCAAGCCACACGATCATCGCGGAGATCGTCAGCAGTTCGTGACGAAGACTCAACGGATGTTCTTCTCTCCATATTCGAGAACATCGATGATCCTGATGCCTACTATGGCTTGCCTCAACCTTCGGATTTGTCCAGCGTTCTTAGCCGCTTGGAATACGAAAAGGACGGCTCGAAACTTTTGGCTTTCCGCGGCGCTCAGTACGACAGCCACATTCAGCGCGGGGATCACGCTTCTCAATCAGATAGCCAATCACTTGTCAGAGCCCTCGGTATTTTAGGCCTTGCAGGACTGGCGTATTCTATGCAACAAGCCCAAGAGAATCATGATGCTGACGAGGACTCCCTCGCGAGTACATTTCAAACCGCTCGCAGACTGGAACGATGGAATCTGCCAGCGCCGGCTTCGGTTGATAACTGCTCGGTGACAATCTACAAGGCCTACCAAAACATCCAACAAGCTGCCGATACACTTTCAGTCCGAAGTTCCATATATAACGGCTTCAGCCATACAATGCGCATTCTTGTCAACGGGGGACTGAATGCGGCTAAGCTGAGGCAGCACCTTGGTGCTCTTGCGGCATTGACAGAGCTGGATGACGTTATAAATGTTTCCGATTTCTCGGAGCTGGATGGCATGCTTGAGAAATTTGAGCAGCGCGGACAATGGATGAGACGCGGACGGTACGTGCAGTTCAATATCAATGGGTGTTAAGCCCTCAAACCAACCAGCCTAGCTAATGATCCTTCACAGATACGAAGACGTCAGCCATATGCTTTCCTGTCGAGAAACAACTTTGAGTTTGATGAGCCAACAGTCCAAACTTCGAAATACGAGCCTCTCTACCGCCGAAGCAAGACAGATTGAGATTCGTTCTAAGCTGATGTCTTCTGGTATTTACCGATTCCATCAAGCTACGCAGGAGTCACTCAATGTGTCAACCTCGCTTACTAGTCTGATCGTACCTTGCGAAAACCTGGGCTTAAAAGTCGATGCTGCTGTCAAAATTGAAGCGGCCAATTCGCTGTGGGATCATGGAGAGATGATTCACTCCATTCGAATGCTTCAAGGCATTGACAACGATTCTTCCCTCAAAAAGCAGACAATTCCTGTTAGTCGCTCGGATTTGTTGTCGAAGATCGGCCACCAAGTCTCAGTAGCAAGGCTAGAAAAACCGCATCATATTCAGAAGAATTACCTCGAGCCGGCGCTCAAAGAGCTGAAGGGGAAAAGCGAGGGTCAACAGGCAGGACGTGTATACCATCAATTCGCCATGTTCTGTGACGAGCAGCTACAAAACCAAGATGGCCTCGAGGATCTGGCAAGACTTCAAAGTCTGCGACAAGGCAAGAGCGATGAAGTTGCTCAACTTCAAAGTCTTATTGCAAGCACCCGCGACTCTCAGCTGAAGACCAGGTATCAGTCTCATCTGAACCGCGCCAAGCAATGGCTTAGTCTGGACGAACAAGAGCTTCGTCGCGTTGAGACAACGAGAAGCGAGTTTGTGCGGCTCAGTCTGGAAAACTATCTGTTATCTCTCATCGCATCGGATGAGTATAACAACGATGCCTTACGATTCACCGCACTTTGGCTTGAGCGATCGGATGAAGACGCCACCAACGAAGCAGTACAGAAACATCTCGGCAAGGTTCCAACAAGGAAGTTTGCAACGCTGATGAATCAGCTGTCATCTAGACTGCAGAACGAGTCAAATCCGTTCCAAAAACTCCTGACCACGCTCGTCTACAATATCTGCGTCGACCATCCTTACCACGGCATGTATCAAATTTGGTCCGGATCGAAAGTTAAGCCCCGTAAGGAGGACCATGTCGCTCAGCTGAGGATCAGGGCTGCCGAGAAGCTTGCTGGACTCTTGCAGTCCAACCAAGCCGTCGCCGCGATATGGCAAGCAATCGATAGGACAAGCTCTTACTATCACCGCTTGGCCGTCGACAGGGACAATTCTAAGTTCAAGGCTGGACATAAAATTGCCCTCAAGGAAATCCACTCAGCTCAGTCGCTCGTCAATGCGCTCATCAAGTACCATATCCCTCCGCCGACTATGCAACTCGAAGTAGCAGCGGACAAGGACTACTCGAATGTTCCCACTATTGCAAGCCTAGATCCCCAGATGTCAATTGCGTCTGGCGTCAGTGCACCGAAGATCATCACAGCTATCGGAACCGACGGACAAAAATACAGACAGTTGGTCAAAGGTGGCAACGATGACTTACGCCAGGACGCCATCATGGAACAGGTCTTTGCTGCCGTTTCTTCCCTTCTGAAGCTGCATCGATCGACACGGCAGAGGAATCTCGGCATCAGAACGTACAAGGTTTTGCCCCTGACATCAGCCTCTGGGCTGATCGAATTCGTCCCAAATACTATTCCACTACACGAGTTCTTGATGCCAGCCCACGAGAGATACTTTCCCAAAGATCTCAAGGGTTCTCAGTGCAGGAAGGAGATCTCCAATGCACAGGGAAAGTCCACCGACATGCGCATCAACACTTACCGAAAGGTAACGGAGCGATTCCATCCCGTTATGAAGTATTTCTTCATGGAAAATTTCGAAGATCCCGACGAATGGTTTGTCAGGCGCTTGGCATATACCCGCACGACAGCAGCAATCTCGATGCTTGGACATGTCCTTGGTTTGGGAGATAGGCATGGCCACAACATCTTGTTGGACCACAAGACCGGAGAGGTCGTCCACATTGATCTGGGCGTAGCATTCGAGATGGGACGAGTGCTTCCTGTGCCTGAGCTGGTGCCGTTCCGTTTGACTCGGGACATTGTGGATGGCATGGGAATAACCGGGACGGAGGGCGTTTTCCGTCGCTGCTGCGAGTTTACGCTACACGCCATGCGAGAGGAGACCTACTCCATCATGACGATTCTCGACGTTTTGCGTTATGACCCCTTGTATTCGTGGTCAATTAGTCCCGTCAGATTGGCGAAGTTACAGGGTGGTGGGCAAGATGACGCTGACGACGATGTGGCTGGGAAGAAGCAGGTGAATGAGCCGGGAGAGGCCCATCGTGCTTTGGAGGTCGTGCGGAAGAAACTGTCGAAGACGCTAAGCGTCACGGCGACCGTCAATGATCTTATAAATCAGGCCACGGATATAAGTAACCTCGCCGTCCTATATTCAGGCTGGGCGGCATATGCGTAAAAGATAGAGGGCGACGGACGACGCAGGGGGGGCGATGAGGGTAGACGACGAAGGGGGACGAAGGGGGCCGAAGGGGGCCGAGGTAGAATGGGGCATTGAGCTGGTTGAATGATACCCTTAGAATAGCATAATACAGTCTACCTGTGTAAGTAAGTATTATCGTCTGTGAAGAAGCAGGTGAAAGAGCAAGGCGAAATTTCATCCATAGACCACCAGACCACGGATATCATTAACTCGGCAGTCCTGTGCTCGCAATGGGTCGTATACGCTGAGGCTTTATACCCAACTCACTCATGTATCGTCCCGCGTGTCTGTCGTCCCTATCGTCCTTGTAGTCTACCATATTCATTATCGTCCCTCGTCTTTCTATGTCCTCCATCGAGATTGCTTATCCACCTCGATAGTCAGCGGCAAGCTGTTAAAAGCCTTCGGGAACGACGATAGAGAAGAAAATATGTGCAGCTTCATGAACCCAACGATCCCATTGAAACCATATATGAACCCATAGATATCCATACCCTTTACCATTACCTAAAAACGCAGTATCTATTGTAAACCATCTTATTAGCTGAATAACAGATATAAGTAACCTTGAAGTATTGTACCTAGGCCAAGCCGTTGAATACGACTTGGTTTAACAGCACTATTATGACGTTCGCAAACCAATTTTCATTATTAGTACTTTATATCTCCATCGTCACTGTCTTCCGAAATTTCCACTATCTACCTTGCGGAGAGCTGTACTAGAACCCTCGAAGATATAGATAAGATGCCACATTGAAATATAGACCTTGTTTAACAATATTCAAACAAGACACTTGATCTAGAGCTAAGTCGGTCTCAACCCTGACTGAACTGTCATTTCATGGAATGACAAACAGAAGAAGTTTTGGACGAAGCGGAGTGATGCATTTAACAGTGATATCAAATTAAGCGGTCCGGGTAGGTGTGGAGCAACTGGGCCTACTCTTATCTAATCCCCGGCCAGCGCGATAAGAGACGTACCCGGGTCTCTTAAATGGATGATGCGAACGACGGCATGGTGATTTGATAATGGTAGCTAGGACGCATACCTAGCTCCGCGTTTAACTCCGCGTCTAGATTCCCGCGACAACGACCACGACGTCTGTACTCGCACTTTCCAACCACACCAGAACCGATAATACCGCCACCACACGACGACGTACTCTTTTGCAAGCCCGACGATAGGAAGACAGGACGTTTCGGACACTCGGTCACCCTCTCTACCCGAACATCCTCGATCCCCAAAAGCAACTAGGTCTGCAACAGCTTAGACAGAAGTTGTTGCAGGACCATACGGTCCATGCCGTCGAATTCACCCCCAGCAGTTGAGGGAGCTTTGCCATCACGGGCGACGGGAAGGACAGGCGGATCAGGTTCAATCGCGGATACGAATAGCCCACAGCGCCGACGACCCCGCGTGGACTCGGACGTTTCGCGCTCTGGCTCTGTCGCCCCGCATCAGCAGCTGTCGTCAAACAGGCCCAGCCCGAAGCGCTTCAAGTTTGGTGCCGAAGATCCTCCCAACTCCAACATGTCGACCAAGATGAAGGGCAAGCTCCCCGAGGTCATCGATCTCACCCAATCCAACTCGTACAAGCCGTACACGGGCGCGAAGAAGCTGGTCATCAAGAATCTGAGGCCGACGGCAAAGAACGAGCAGCTGGAGCAATACTACAAAAGGACAGAGCAGGAACTACTCGATGCTCTCCAAGACATTTTCAACGGGCGCAAGCCGCAGTTGCCTTTGGAGAGGCTGTATCGAGCAGTCGAGGACATCTGTAGGCGCGGTAACAGCAATGATTTGCAGCTCTACGAAACACTACGCAGGAAATGCGAGGAGCATCTCACTGGCACTGTGCTGCGATCTATCAAGGCTCATGGTGGAAACACCAACGTCGAAATGCTGCGGAGCGTTCTCAAGCATTGGCGAGTGTGGAACGGCCAAATTGTGAGTTAGCTTGCCTCAGGTTACTTGACTCAACACTAACATTGGCTGCCTCTAGATGACGATACGATCTACATTCAGCTGGCTTGACCGCACATTCGTGTTGAAAAACAAGAACCTCACTTCAATTAACGACATGACAATTACTCAGTTTAGAAGGATGACGTTCCCGTCTCGAGAAGATGCCGACGGCCCATCACCAGGTGGGCGGGCGCTACGGGGCATGTACGACTTGATTTCATACGACCGGACTGGTGACGAACGGTTTGACGCTGCCCTACTGAAAGAATCCGTCATGATGCTCCACGTCTTCAATATCTACACGAAGCTATTCGAACCCCGCTTCATAGACAGCTCAGCCGAATATTTCCAAGACTTTGCGGAGGAACGAAGCTCATCGAGTCTGAAAGAGTACATCCTTGCATGTGAAAAACTCCTTAAGAGGGAAGACTACAGATGCAATGAGTACAATCTCGATTCCACCACAAAGAAACAACTACTCGATGCCGCTCACGGTATTCTAGTCAACAACTACTCCGATAAGCTATTGAACAACGAGAGTCTCTCGAAATTATTGGCTGAAAACGAGGTCGAGTCTATGAAGGCGCTCTATGAGCTATTGAGACTATCGGGTATTCAGAAGAAGCTGAGGGCCCCATGGAGCGTGTATATCAAGAAGACTGGAGCTGCCATTGTGGCCGACAAGGAACATGGCGACGAGATGGTACGAAGGTTGCTTGAGCTGAAGAGGTCGCTCAGCCTGATCATTCGGGATTCCTATGGAGGCGACTCAGACTTCCTGAATGAGCTCAAAAATGCCTTTGGCGAATTCATGAACGACCGCACAATCGAAAAGACGTGGACATCAGGAACGTCTAAGGTTGGAGAAATGATTGCGAAGTACATCGACATGCTGCTTCGTGGCGGTCTGAAGGCACTGCCCAAGGCGTTGTTGTCAGATAACAAGGACCGCGCTGCGGCAGAACAGAGTGGCCAAGCCAGCACTGGAGACGAAGATGCGGAGCTTGATCGACAACTGGACCAAGCCTTAGAGCTGTTTCGATTTATTGAAGGCAAAGATGCCTTCGAAGCGTTCTACAAGAAGGATCTGGCCCGTCGCCTGCTCATGGGCAGGAGTGCCAGTCAGGATGCCGAGAGAAATATGCTCAGGAAACTGAGGGAAGAGTGCGGTACCAACTTCACACATAATCTGGAGCAAATGTTCAAGGATGTCGAGGTGGCCAAGGAGGAAATGGAGACATACAAGCAGTGGTCAGAAGGCACTGGCGCGGGCAAGGCTCCAGTAGACCTGTCCGTCATGATTCTGTCCGCGGCTGCTTGGCCAACGTACCCCGACGTAAGGGTTAATCTGCCAGACGACGTTGCCAAGCAGATCGAGCGTTTCGATCAATACTACAAGAACAAGCATACTGGCAGGCTTCTCCACTGGAAGCATGCATTGGCGCACTGCAGCATCAAGGCGAAGTTCCCTAAGGGTACCAAAGAGTTGCTCGTCAGTGCATACCAAGCCATTGTTCTCGTTCTGTTCAATGAGGTTGGACTGGATGGCTTCCTCGCATATGAGCAAATCGCGCGCTCCACAAACCTTCAAGGGGACGAGCTAGCGCGAACACTACAATCTCTTGCCTGTGGCCAGGTCCGCGTGCTAGCCAAACATCCCAAGGGCAAGGACATCAACCCGACCGACACCTTCACCATCAACAAGGCATTTTCACACCCCAAGATCCGAGTCAAGATCAACCAGATCCAGCTCAAGGAGACCAAGGAAGAAAACAAGGCAACGCACGAGCGTATTGCACAAGACAGACGGTTTGAGACTCAGGCTGCCATCGTCAGAATTATGAAGAGCCGGAAGACGATGAGCCATAGTGAGTTGGTAGCCGAAGTCATCAACATGACCAAGAACCGCGGTGCCGTTGACGCGGCGCAAATCAAGAAGGAGATTGAGAAGTGAGTGGGATCCTTTTTCCGCGCCTTTTATGCTTGCTAACTTTCGTGTAGCCTTATCGACAAAGACTACCTGGAGCGCGAGGGTAATACTTACACGTACCTGGCGTAGACAGCGTGATGGAAAGGCCTATTGTATACTAGACGTAGACACTCAAGGCGCGGGCACGTCGGAGGAAGACACGTAGATTACATGGCTTTTAGAGCCACTGTATATGAATATCACGACATGAGTGACTTTCACGAGGCGTTAGTCGATAATTTACTGGGCTACTCCTTGGCAAGATAAAGGTATGGCAGTCTTCTCACATTGTGGGAAGTGAGGCAGATACGGCGGCGATGAATTGGTATAAAAGGGTGTTAGTATCGAGCCTGAGCAACAGCGCCTGGAATAAATGGCCGTGAATATGCCCAGTAATGGTACAGCAGTTATACCACCTGAAACACAGAGATCATGCTTATCCAGCGCTAGAGCCCACAGTTTCGAGGCCCCTTGCAGACTTTTCCTTACTCTTTTTCTCGAAAGTCGTTGTCTTTCATATCAACTGACCCACAAAGCGACAGCCGGGACTCGGTGAGCATTCGGTGAAGACCCACAGACCCCATACCGGTCCCTGCGGAAAAATCATTAGACCTAGCGCATTGCGGGGTTCCAAAAAAAAAGTTGCGGTGGTCCCTCTGCGCCTAGCCAAAATTTCCAGAAATTTGTGCCAAAGGCGGTCGGCGCGAAATCTTTCCCAGTCGGAATCTCGAGAAAAAAAGGTCGTCAGGTACTTCTTGTTCCCAGCCCCGAACGGTTTCCCTTTCGAGGTTCACACCTACGCAACCAATTTGTATCTTCGAATCGCCGGACATAATCCAGCCCAGCCGACTTTTCAAAATCAGTCCGGAGAGAAACAAACGCCAAGATGCCTAAGTCGAAGCGCAACAGAATCGTGAACCTGACCCAGGTCAGCAAGAAGACGCGCGAGCAGAAGGACAAGCTCTTCGCCAACATCCGCGAAACCGTCCCCGAGTACCAGCACTGCTTCGTCTTCGCCGTCGACAACATGCGCAACAACTACCTCAAGCAGGTCCGCCACGAGCTTACCGACTGCAGGTTCGTCGCCTTTCCCTACCTCTCTCCTCAGATACCCAATGCGCTGCGCCCGTCTCGCATAGCAGGGACAATTCCTCGTACAATTGGAACCTCCAGACTGACCCTAGACAACCAGACTCTTCTTCGGCAAGACAAAACTCATGGCCAAGGCCCTCGGCCAAGACCCCTCCTCCGCCGTCGCGGACGGCATCGACCGCCTCACCCCCTTCCTCTCCGGCACCGTCGGCCTCCTCTTCACCAACCGCGACCCCAAGGCCGTCCTCGAGTACTTTGAGGGCGTCTCCCCCGTCGACTTTGCCCGCGCCGGCACCGTCGCCACCCGCGACTTCGTCATTCCCCCGGGCGTCGTCTACGCCACCGGCGGCGAGGTCCCCGCCGAGCACGACGTGCCCATGGAGCACAGCATCGAGCCCGAGCTGCGCCGCCTCGGCATGCCCACCCGCATGATCAAGGGCCGCGTCTGCCTCGGCGACGCCGACGGCTCCTCTGGCGAGGGCTACACCGTGTGCAAGGAGGGCGACACCCTGGACAGCAGGCAGACGAGGCTGTTGAAGCTGTTCAGCATCTGTCTGAGCGAGTTCAAGGTCCAGGTCATGGCGTACGTCTTGTCCCTTTCAACTCAACTATTATTTTCTGGAAGATTATTCGTTTGTGCTAACTTCGCGAACAGGTACTGGAGCGCGGCGTCAGGCGAGGTGACAGAAGTCAACCCCAATGCCATGGAGGCCGACAGCGACTAAAGCGCCCTTGACGGCGGGAAGGCCAGGGTTGGGAATGGATGACCAAAACGTATAAAAAGCTTCTAGACTTGATGATTGCTTCTTCATGTAGGCTGATACCATCATGGATTGCGAGGGGTGGGCAACAAAAACAACACTGCGGCGTTCGGGCGGTTCATTAGATTACAATTTTTTTCGGTCATGCGTCGGGCATCTTTCACACATTTTCACATGTCCTCTTGGTTGAGGAAGTACTTTCTCGTACGCTTTTCTTTCTATGAGGATAGAACGTACTCAAAACGAGCCAGAAGAATGCTACGTACGATCTGTCTGTCTTGGAAAACGAGAGGTCCTCACCTATTCGTACAAGTAATTATAACGCGGTACATGCGGGAACTACACCTATCCTTTTTTGATGAACCATTTGATGTCTTCCATGCTAATAATCTCCAGGTCAGTAGGCACGGAGTCCCTTATCTCTGACCTTACCTGCAGCGTCGACCAATCGTTTTCGGAGTAATGTTGCTAACTCGAGCTCGAAGCGGCTGGTAGTAGAGTACATGCAGAGATGATTACCTTCGACGGCATGCTGCAGCAAATTTGATGCGAACGAATGTCTCGGTAGCCTGTAGGATGAAACTGAAGCGCCTGAACACGGCCGCACTGTATGCGCCTGGTTGCGACCTTTTTGACCCGGAGATGGAGAAGACTTGTTTGTGCTTGACACCTGCTTACCCTCGATGAAGAAAGGGAAGAAGGAAAGAGACTGAAAGATCAGACGCGCGGCTAGTCACCCACCGCAAGACACGACGTGTCTCGTCAGTAGCGACGTAGCTTTCTGGGATCCTCATAGCCGCCGCCGTCATAGCCTCGTTTCCTGTTGTCGTCGTCGCGGGGTCGGTCATAGTCTCTGTCCCTGTGGCTGTCACGGTCCCGGTCTCGGTCGCGGTCCCTGTCGCCTCGGTCACCACGATACCCACCTTCTCCTCTGGGTCTGATCGGTTCCATGTTGCTTCCTGTCCTGCGGCCTCCGTCACGGTCGCCGCGGTCTCTGTCGCGATCTCCGTAACGATCGCCATGGCGGCCACCTGATCTGTCGTCATGTGAGCGGCCGCTTCCACGGTCATACCCACCGCCGGAAAAGCCGCGGTCGCCTCCTCCGAAGCTGCGTCCGGGTCCTGAAGGAGCATCCCTAGGAGCGCCGTATCCGTTAGGACCACCTCGATCACCACCACGGTTGAAGTCGCCACCGCCACGGAATCCTCCACGGCCGCCAAAGCCTCCTCTAAAGCCTCCGCCGCGACCGCGTCCTCCCTCGAAGCCGCCACGGAAGCCTCCTCGGAAACCGCCGCCACCGCCGAAACCACCACCAGGTCCGCCCATGGGCCTAGCCGGCAGGGCTTTGGTGTATCCTCGGCCTCCGAGGCCGCCACCGAGTCGGCGAGGTACCCAGCCCTTGACGGTGCGCCCACGTTCGACGTCTACCTTGATACGCCGGTCCTTGATTCGAATACCATCGCAGGCATCTAAAGCAGCTACTCACCAGTGCGCCAAGGCGCTTGTGTCAGTAAACCCTTACCAATATCATACCTTTGCGTCGTGGAGTGGAATGAGAAGAAATAAAAACAAGATTGTGAGACGGGCAAGCTTGAGGACCACGGATCTCGGTGTGTAAAGCTGGGCAAGGGCAAGCCTGAGGGCCACAAGCCGGGAGGGAGATGAATGTCGGATAGGCCGAGCATCGTCAAGGGGGTTCGGCGTCATTACCTCTCATATCTTTCTCTCGTTCAAAAACAACGAAAGCGTAGCCACGATGGGGCTTCTTCTTCTTTCTGGGTTTCTCATGAGCATGAGTGTCAGTGATGATACGGATCTATCTGATTGTCAGCTTGATAAGGCCATCTATGATGGGGAACAGGAGAACGTACGCGCTCAATGGGGCCGAAACGGCCAAACTCCCTCTCGAGATCCTGCTCGTTGGCCTCGTAAGAGAGTCGCGCAACAATCAAAGTCTTGAAAGCATCGCCGCGAATGTTGGAGTCCTCGTGGGGTTTGACTGTACAATAGTAACATTAGCATATTTCTCCTACAAAAGCAATGTGTAGAGTACTGACAATTCTTCGGCCCTTCCGTCTTGAGCTTCTCGACTGCAGCTTGCTTCTCAAGCTTCTTGCGGTCGCGCATCTGCAACCAGCTCTCTGTCGGTTTGTATTCGTCGGTCTCCTTGTAGGCTTGAAGTGCGGGCAGGAACTCGGCGACACCAGAGACGGGCAGGGTCTTGCGCTTTTCGGGCGCATGGTCGGGAGGCGGCACCCATCGCAGGGGCGGACGCGGCGCGAACAGCGCCAAGAGGTTGGGAGGGAGCTTGTCGGTCATCGCGAAAGACCCTTTTCGTCAGTATCCCAAGATCGAAGATATCCTCTAGCTCCACTGAGATGCGCGCGATGGCGTGCAGCTAGGGATGTCGTAATGGGACGTAGTGGGAATGGGGTTGAAGGATGAGCGTCGCGTCCGTACTTGAAATTGACACGAGAACGCATGGCAAGGGAAAGTTTGTGGTGCAGCCTGGCTCTGTCCAGACCACCCCAGTTGTACCAGCCAATGGTAGCTGTTCAAACAATGCAAGGTGGGTCCGGAAGATGCGGTACGTACTGCAGCTCCGGTCCAGCTGTCTGGCTCGGATCATCTGCGTTTTGGCGCTAACAAATTTCCCGCCCGTGGCAGACGGACGAGGTTCTTTGCGACGACTCGACCACGCAATTGGATTCTGTATGCCAGACAGGATACCATGACGATCCAGGCATTGAAGACGGTGTCCAAGGGCCAGGTATGGACTTTCCACCTGTTAGCGATCTGCTGGAATGACTGACAACTCGGCAGAATGGCCTTGGCTCATTCATCCTCCAATGCAAGAAGTTGGACTTCCACTACTGCGACTGGGCTGGTAGCTCCAAGGGCATGAAGTAGGCAATCTCTGGCTTCTGGACGTCTTATATGCATACTGATATTCTCTTCCAGCGGATTTATCAAGTCTCAGCTACCCAAATTCGCCAAGGCCCACCCCCAGATCGAGTTCACCGTGTCGCCCCGTCCCGCGAAGCACCCTATGATTGTCGGCCACTACATCAACGGCCGCGAGAAGGCCGTTTGTGTGCGAAACATGGAGCCCTTGGAGATCTTGAAGAAGGCCGAACTGCTGCGTGACGCCAGCGGAGAGAAGCTCAAGAGGACGAGCAAGCCTGTCACCAGTATCAACGCCAGTGTTAGAGGTATATGGTCACCGTACCATGGCAACGGCATGGCTGTATAAATACCTACGAAAACATTTACGACATCTCTTTGGAAAGCATGTAAAACTATGATCGGGGCCAGGCGTGCATAGGAGGAAAAGGCAGCATGACATGTTTGTTGCTTGTAAAATATCACCCGAACGGGATGGGGAACGAGTGCCCCCTGAAAGCACTCGAAACGCAGATTTCTCAACGCTCACAGATGAGGCATGACTACAGACGCGTGTGTGGGTATACTGAATTTTGTTTTCTTCTTTACTACCTCAGGGACTACGAAAGGTTTGGTTTTTTCGTTACTTCTTGTCCTGAGCTACCCAAGCCATTATGCGGCCATGTTCAAGCGTTCATCATCATCAGGTATGTTCTATTTAGGGATTTACTGCTTGGCGTTGACAATGTCGACGACTGTATCCTGTCAGTACTGGGAGTCGGTTTCACTGGCGAAGGGAGTACTCACAGCCAGGCTTCAAGCTGGCACCGCCAACCAAGAAACCGTCAATGTCCTTCTCCTTGGCCAGGTCCTTGCAGTTCTTCTCGTTGACACTGCCACCGTACAGGATGCGGGTCTCCTCGGCGACCTTGTCGCTGACGTTCTTGGCGAGCCAGGCGCGGATGGCGGCGTGAACCTCCTGGGCCTGCTCGGTGGTGGCAACCTTGCCGGTGCCAATGGCCCAGATGGGCTCGTAGGCGACGACAACCTTGGACCAGTCCTTGATGGCGGCGTTGAGGGCAGCAAGCTGCTTGCTGACGACGTCGACGGTGGTGCCAGCCTCGCGCTCCTCTAGGGACTCACCACAGCACCAGATGGCACCAACGCCGTTCTCGGTGGCGTACTTGGTCTTGGAGGCAACAACCTCGTCAGACTCCTTCAGGATGGTACGGCGCTCAGAGTGGCCAAGGATGGCCCAGTTGATGTTGCTATCCTTGAGCTGGGCAACGGAGATCTCGCCAGTGAAGGCGCCGTCGGGCTTGTCGAAGACGTTCTGGGCGGCGACCTCAATATCCTTGCGGAGGAGCTCACGGGTGAGCGAGAGGTAGATGGCGGGAGGGGAGACGACGACCTCTGCGGGCTTATTGTTAGCTGCAATGTCTTCTTCTGTGCTCTGCATTGGAGCAAGTGGGCAAGTACCAGTGTTGGGGTCGAGGGTGGCGCCGTTCAGGTTCTCGACAATCTTCTTGATGGACGACACAGAGCCGTTCCTATCGAGCGCGAAGCATGACGTGTTAGCCCATGTTGCGGTGCTGGCTGATACCGGAGCTTCCATCCCCCCTCCCTCCATGTGCCGTCTCCCCCTTGGGATGGGGGGTTGCTGCAGGATGTCCGATGAACCCCGTCAACGAAGAGACTTACATCTTGAAGTTGCCGCCGACGAAGAACTTGCGAGCCATGTTGGGCAATTGGTGGTATCTGATGATTCTAGGGAGAATGGTGAAGCTTCGGGAGTCTGAAGGACAGTCCAGAAAGATCGGATCACGGCTGGAGGTGTAAATGACGCAGGACAGGTTTTGGCAGGTAGCTTGTCGTAACAGTAAAAAGACCTCAGCTCCAGCGCGAGGTGGGCTTGATGGAGGGGCAAGGAGGGGCGGGGGCTTTTTCGCAGGTGCAGGACACCAGAGGGGCAGTGGCACGCTGTCACGACACCTCGCAGCGCCTGCAGCACCAGAATCAGCAGTTCCGGTGGGGCTCCCAGCGGCTCCGATCTGGCCCGGGGCCTGCACCCGCCCCGCACTCAACCTCACTTTCTCACTGGGTGACCTGAGCGGCCGGTCGCCGTGGGCTGAGACTGTCCTCCAACAACCAGCGCCCCTCAACACTTTTCGTGACCAGTCGGTCCGGTCCATTTCCCTTCACCCTGGACGCCAAGCTACGGTTCCAATAATCCAATCGGAGGTCTTGTTGCTCATGTCAACGACAGCTACCTCATCGGGGAGCGCATGGTCAGGTTTGGCTAGTCCGTGTCTTCCATCGAGACACTGGGTGACTCGTCTGAGTGATCGCCTTGAGACCTGGCCATCGTCGTGGAATCGATCAACATCACAGTCAGGCTTCAGATATCCGCAGCATCGTTGTTGTCAGACTCCGTGATGAGGAGACACGTCTTGCTTCTCATGCACAGTCGCCAGAACCCGGTCATTGTCGTATTCCTGTGAGGTAAAGACCTCGGGTTGGTTCTGCATGATCCTGTTTCTCCCGAATACACGGCTACTCTGCAGTTCGCATTACCATACCTCGGCAACCATTCACCAGCACTTTATGTGTACCTATCCAAAGAGACAGCTGCTCTGATGGCGAGCGAACAAAAAAAAACTCATCGACAGGTTGAAAATCTGGGACCCGCGACAACTACGGAAAAGCCAGAGAGGAGACACCAGGCCTGTCATACCCACTCACTGGCTCTGCTGCTCGTGTGCATTCACTCAGATCTTCGTCTACCTGTCACCACACTCATTCCGCGCTGTAGCATACCGGCTTTCCAAAAGAAACATCTGAGGCGGGCTGCGGACCTGGACAGGTTTTCTCTTTCCCCGGTTTGGGATAAAATTCACACCGTAACAGTCCAAAAAAGCAAAGCCACAACTGATCGCCCGCCTAACTGTCATCCTGTCCAGGACCCATGCCCCGGGGACACAGATCTCTGGCTGACTTGCGCAGCTTCGTATCCATGCCGATGGATCCAGGAAAAAGAAAGCCTTCATTGAAATCCAGCCCCTGCTGGAGACCGTGCCCGACTTCATTCTTGCTGTTCCAGCTCAAATTTTTCTTCGTCTTACCTGAAAAGTCTCAGCTCGGACCAGCGCATTGTGTGTTATCGCGTTATACAATGTCAACGATGTTTTGTTGGATCTGATTTGTGAGTTGAGTAGTATTTCGCGAGCTTTGGCCTTACACATTCGAACAATTCAGTCCTAAAGAGGGATCTAACGAGACCGTCTGGGGCACTATTAACCAGCAGTCGGTTGAGGGTCAGAAATGATGACCCAGCTATTTAGAAACCCGTCACCTCCGAGGCTGGCTGGTAACCCGGCCTGGTTTTCTCATTCGTCTGACTGACACCACTGGACAGGGCAGTTTACAGGAAGTTTTGGTGGCCAGCGAACAGGTGGTTCTCCGCATTAGGCACCTCAGAGTTTGCTGAAGGAAGAGATGACTTTCAGACTTGACGGGAGCCACCAACCCCTTACCAGCATCGGCAGAAGTCCGACTCCTGTCTTTGAGTCTTCGAAAGCAACAACACGTCCATGATGGCAATCAGAACCGAATTCCCCTAAGTACTCGATGTCAAAGCCATGTCAGGATGGTGGCCTTGCACAACAGATGAGCATGACAGTGCTTGGCTACCCATGAGGCCGCCAGTGTAAGTGAGCAGCATGTTAGCCTACTGTACTTGAAATGTGATGACGTCGTCATGAGACGGGCAGCAAGCGTGATATACACGTTTCATCCACCTTTATCGGAGCTATTCATCACGAATCTGCCCGAGACATCACGGTTTGTGGCAACCTGGGGCAAGACGATGAACAGGCGTTCTAGATGTCCGGCATCCCACTGAAGATGGGTCCTTCATAGCTTTCAAACCCAGCATACGAACATACAGGGCGATATGAGTGAACCCATGGCGTGTGTCGTCCTGATTAGGCCGGTCACTTAAGTAACCGGGGGCGCAGCCGATGGAAGGCTAGACACACGTGGTGGCGTTGACCCCAGTCTAGTCTCTGGGCCCAATCGCATCCTCAGTATCCAGGATTCAGGTGCGGTTCTTGGCGTTCATGGCTTTTTGACAGTTCGAATAGGCGAGGGAGGTTGGAGGTGGGCGCCCGGGAGACGTTGACAATTCCGCAGTGTCGTCGACAAAAATGACAGATACATTGGGTCCAAGCTGCGAGCAACAGAACTCATTCGCGAATGGTGGAAATCCCAGTTCGCGGGGTGTCGATTGAAACGGCTTCTCGTCGAGGTGGACTCGGAAACAGTCGAGAAACAGTCTCTTAGCCGAGGCGGTCACTAAAGAATTGGGCATGATGGCAAACCACTAGGTCAAGATCGATGAGGCCTGCTCTACCCCATGCTAGAGACTTGGCCGCGGAAGAGTGGGTGTCGACTACCCAGTTCCAGGGTCACACAGCGCGATTGCGCCTTCTTGACTCACTCTCATGGCTCCTTGGACAGATGGACGCTTTCTCGTGAAATGAGCTCCCTGAGAGGAAAGAAACACTAACATCAAAGCACTCCAGGGGCTGACGGGAAGCGTCGTCCCGTTGATGACTAAGGGGTAGGAGAAGTAGGCGAAGTGGGGGATGGGCACCCGCTGTGAAGCCAACCGCATCTCTTCGACAACATTCTTGCAACGACTTGTTAAATCCTACGTCAACAACGCTACTTCACGTCACCATGTGCCATCCTGTACTACCCGCTGCCATGCAGGGCCGTATGCGCACTTCTTTAGCATTGCAACCATGGCTACCCTGGTTTCTGTCGTTCGTCAGATAAGGTAACATTCAAACACCACTTCTTCATGGAAGAGTCGAGATCCGATGTGATAGGGACCCCGACCTGACAGGCTCAGCCCCGAGGGCTGCCGTTTCGCGGGGCACTTCTCGACAAACCAACGGCTACAATGGTCCGTTTATGGACCTGCTGGCCGGCTATCCATGGCGTCGAAGCCAAACGGTCGAAAAATCGAATGGGCCTATCGTGTTCACAGCATCCTCAGACGCGTTCGGTTTGACAATCCCCTCGCTCGGCCGTCAATGCGCGTCGACGAACCCAAAACCCGTGCGTCCTGCCAAGCTTCAAACAACTCTCCGGGAAGAGCGCCAATGAAGGTGGAGAATCCTGAAGACGGCACGGCTTCGAAAACGACTGGACAATCTTACTCCCCAGGCACAAACGTTTCTTGATCCTCGACCAGCAAAGACATGTCTCCTCCACGTTGAAGTCTAGGTACAACCAACACACCACACCGCCCCTGGCTTCGACGACCACCATCACAATCTGCAGTGTCACCACCACTGCGACAGGGTCTGGATGAGGGGCCTTGCAGGCGGTTTGTGGTGGGAGCCACCTGTTTTCACTCGGCGGGAGACGTCGTTGGTCAACCGCAATACCACAATGCCAACGCCTTTGTTCCCGGCCTTCCTTATCATGATCGTGGCTATTGCGCATGATGTTGGCCATCATGGATCAAGTTTTGACACCGTCCACATGCAGGCCTAGGTGCTGTGGCAGCTGTCTACCGGTAGCTGCGTCCAGCTCCCGCCGTGTCAGCGGCATTTCCATCCCGGTTGTTCAACCCTAGCTCGGCCTCCAGACTCGCAACACGCTAGTCGGGCGTTGAGCCTCCTCTAAGGCCAAGCGGACCTAGCCGCAAGATCAACGGTAGGGCTGGGGGCTCACTGTTCTCGCCCTCACCATGAACGGCGCTGAGAAGACATGCGACGCTGTGACAGACTATGACTTACGCAAAGAAGCAAGGCGCCAAAGTCTGCTTTGTCTACCCAGCTTTCCTCACACAGACTTGCAACCGGCCAAGGTGCCGCTGGATCCACGGAGTTGCATCCGTTGCTCCCTTTCCAGCACCGCCCCCAAGGATATCCAATGGTCTGAGAGAGACAACACGATACAACACCACCGGTTCCTCATGAGAACCCCAGTTCAAGCCGTCAGTGCGGTCTTGAGAATGTCTCGCCAGACGGCAACGTTTTTCTGCGGTTCCCTGCAGCGATTCTCAGGGTTGGGCGGTCTAACGGTCCAGGGTTGGAAAGATATATTGGCCAGAGCGCGCATCATCATGTTGATGTCACAGCCGTGGATATGCTTTCTCACTGCGTCCGTCTGTTGATTAAGCTTAGGCACGGTCACCAACGCTGAAGGCTGTTTTTTGCCCTTCCCATTGAATTTGCCCAGCCCTCTCGTCCCGTCTCTCATTCGTCCCCGCGTGTCTTCGGGCCACAGTTGCCGCCGTGAGGGGAAGAATAAGGACGCTCTCCTTTCCACGTCTTTGCTACGTTTTCGGTACCGTTGGTCCCCTGTCTTCTGCCCACACGATGTTCACGACATCGACGATATGAGGATCCCGCCGCCAGAAGTAATACTCAGTTGGCCGCCACCGCGTTACGATGACCCCGAAACCAGAGGCCCGGCCAACCAGATCGTCTCCCTCATCCTCCTGGCCATCGCTACTGTTATCATCGCCATCCGGACATATACGCGAAAATGTATCACGAACGGGTTCGGCTGGGACGACATGCTCGTCATCCTCGCCTACATTCCCGCAGCAGCGTTCGTTGTCGTAGGGATGATATCTATGGATCGATATGGCTGGGGACGACACGTATGGGATGTGCCCATCGACAAATTCACGGGGTCTTTGCAGATGGGACTCGCTAGCCAGATCCTCTTCGACTTGACTACAAGTTTTACGAAGCTGTCGATGCTGGCATTAGTGTACCGGATCGCCCACGAAGCCTCTCGCAAGTTCAGTCTCCTGGTCATCGGCCTAGGGGTGTTTATCTCCATCAACTGCGTTGTGTTTATGATGGTGGCCATGTTGCAATGCCGGTATGCAGGCTTTGAATTTTCCACAGCCAACAAGACTGACTCTCTGTAGGCCTCTTTCTCAATATTGGACGCTCTCAGCTGAGCCTCAGAATTGTATTAACGAGGCAGCGCACCTCCTCGTTGCCAGTATCATCAATACCGCGACCGACTTCGCCGTGGTCCTGTTACCACTGGCTCTAGTTCGTATTGTCTATAAGAACAAACTCTCTTCTAGGCAGATGGTTATTGTCAACCTGCTTTTCGGTGCCGGTTTCCTGGCGTGCTTCGCCGGCATAGCTCGCACTTACTTTACGTGGATCATGACCACGGAACCGGATGTTACCTGGAACGCCTGGATGAACTGGCTCATGTCATCACTCGAGCTATTCCTTGGGATCATCTGCACCAGCATCCCGTCAACCAAGCCGTTCTTCAACCGATACCTTCCCAGATTGCTGGCCTCAAGGTCTCGCAAGTCACAACCTACCAGCGTACCATTACCTACCGACAAAGCAACAAAGGGCTCCCAAGCGGGCAGCCAGTTATCCTTCGACTCGGATCTGGAGGACGCCATACCCATGGGTTCCCAAACATCAACACCAACCACGACGGTCAAGCGCTTCAGCGAAGCGACATTGAATAAGCCATTGCCGGCCGTCAAGAAGAATTCCGTATACACCATCAAAATTCAGCTGGATGAAGCCAGCCTCAGTCCCGCGGACAGAAGAGACCGCGCGCTGAACCAAGTCACCCCAACGGCCCCGGCTCCAACAATACACAACTTCAGCAGACCAAAAGTCCTTCACACGAGGAGTACGTCGGAGCCTCACAGCGTACACCGTTTGAGCACCGAGTATGCTCACGACTCGGATCGTCACAGCCAAAACCTGGATGATTCGGATAGCAACTACCGGCAGAGCATTGATGACCTCGAGGCCGGCCGTTACAGCTCCTACGACCGCCAGAGCTTTGCGGCGTCTACGAGAAACCTTACCGGCGCCACGGCGATGAAAGGCCACGCCAAAAACACGTCCGTCGGCACTTTTGGGGGCTGATTTCGGCAGCGAAGCTTCTTTTCGGTGTGCCAGAGAGCGAAGGTGGTGGCGTGTGTTGCAGCAGCAGACCGACGGGAAGAGGGACCCATCAAACATGGTTTGAGGCTTTCTAACGCCGTCCTGCCGGCGTTGACTTTTTTTTTCTTCTCTTCATAAGACGGGATACGGCGGCTACACCTTGCAGCTTATGATACACCCATACGCACCCCCACCGTCTGCTGGATGGCAAGAAGGCGGCAGTTCCTGCATCTCATTTCCTTTTTTGTACATTCTTATAAATTTTAGCTTTTCGGGAGCCAGACCCGAACCTTCGTCACGACGTCTACGACCAATAATATACAACAGACTGTAGTACTTAGAGTCACTGTTGGTTTTGCCAATCTGTCCTTGTGCCCTACCATCTCTTCCACGTCTGACTCTGGATAACCTTAATCACTCCAAACATCTCAAATTGCCTGAACTCTGGGAAAGCTTGATCCTACCTCCGGCCCAGGTCCCAGACGGTCTTCTCCCCAATGGGAATCAACCTTTCGCTCTTCGCTGTTGGGCCGTCCGCCCCGCGGTTAGAGGACAGACAGAGAGGAGACCGGGAAAGATGCGTGTCGGTGGGTAGTCCCGATGGCGGCCGACAAACATGCCCACCCACTTCCTGTTACCAACTCATGACTTGCTTCTATCGAAGCCACCATCTGCGGATAAGCTTCCTTTAGCACAATCCACTGGAGCCATCCCGATTTAACGGCCCTGTTCTTTCGCCGCAATCGAAAGCTCTCCATCTTCCCCCACATCCTTATTTCATCCATGTCGATCCAAGCCGTCAAGCCTTCCCTCCCTGCAGGTGGCTTCATGATGGCGTGCAACCGTCCCGCTCACTAAACAAAGAGTGACTGCAAAGCAGCTCCAAAGTCCCGTCAACGTCCCGCTGCAGAGCTACACTTTGTCGTGCACAAGTCAGTCCACACCCACGTGCCCGCCAAGTCTCCTCCCAAGCATGCCTGCCCGCTGCCGCCATGGCCGCCTTTTCAGATATCGAAGCTTGAGAGGGGATGGGTTCTCTCAACTTGCTGACTGCGCAGCGCACAGGCGGTCCAAGAAACAAACCCACACGCATTAGATCCCAAAGGAGGAAAGACGATACCGCAATAAAGAGTGGTTGAAAAAGTGAATCTACGAGGCTACTGCCAGGCGCAGACGTAGCTGGGCAGACAAGACATTTGCTTTACTGCCAAATCTGCCCTACTTCGCTCATTGCTAAGCGGTGATGACGAACAATGCAACAAATAGACTTGGCCACTACTGCAGGCACAGACTGCGACAGCACCCAACGCAAGCACGGACAGAAACATTGCCAGTCCCAACGAATAAACTTGACTGCTAACATGCATCGGGCCTTCTCAACCTCGATGATCCGGGTCAGTCGGGGGGAGGGCCAACTAGCTAACGTACTACAGCAAACCCAAATGAACAAATTTCAACTTCAACGACTATGTTTATGTCAACAAGGGAATCAGCCAGTGTCATCATCAGCTAATCTGAGTGATCGTCGCTTCACAACACTCTTGACACAACCCAAACCCGTCCCCCTCCACGCGCGCTTGCCGTCGTCTCCTCCCCCTCTCCCTCCTACACCGTTTCCTTCTTACCCCTCTTTCTGGGGAGGGGGGCAGGGAGGGAAGAGAAAGTCATCCGTTCTTCAACGTCCGTCTGTTCTGATCTTCGGGCATCCGCATACGCTCATCACCTAGCGCATCTCACAAAAGCATCGAGATGGCTCAGGCATTCTCATCTTCCGTTAGACCGTTTGGCCTGATCTCGTTCCCCCCCGTTGATTGTTGGCATCTCGTGCTTCCTCTCTTCTCTCTGCTGAACAAACACGAAGCTATTGTTTCGAATATCACTGACTTGCCCAAAATCCCATTTTCTCCTCTGTTTCTGCTTTCCCATCATCTCGTGTCTGCGTGATTGTGGCGTGCCTCTCTGCTCATGTCACCTCGGCCTCCAATCGTCTTCATCTCCTCTTCACAAGCCGAGATGGGGGGCCGTCATCCGAAGCATAGGTCGTATGGATTGAAGAACAGATAGCCAGCAAACCACCCAACCCCCTCCCACAACAGAGACGTAGCAGCAGCGCAGTTCCAGCCTGAAGGAAGAAAGATAAACAGATTAGCTACCGGGTATGTGATTGAAACTCCTAAATGGCGGTTGATAGTTGGAAAAGCCATCGAGATGTCTTTCTTCAAGGCCCGGCTAATGAGGGAAACCGAATGTGGGACGGTTGACATTGAGGTAGATTCACCGACAAGACGTCCGATCCGTAGCCATCTCCAAGCGCGTAATCCGCTAAGCAGATGACCTTCACTGAGAGCAGCCCTCTCTCATTGAGCCTGTAGGAAGGCTGCGCTGAATGGGGGTGCACCTTCAGCTGGACGCAGACTTCCCGTCTCCCCATTTTACCCCCCATTTGACGGACGGCGCCGACACCCACAGCGGCGAGCGGCGAACGGTAAAGGCCATCATCATCAACCCCAGTAGCCGCGCCATCTCGATGAGACGAGAAAGTTGCGCGGCGTGTAGGATGGGGAAAACAAGAGGGCCCCAATCAAAGGTGAATAACGGCGACGGTTGCTGAACGTTAGCCCGATTAACATGCTGCGTGCCCCTGATACCCCTTTTTATGGAAAAATGTCTATTTGGTCCGAGGGTGTGGTGTTGGTAGGGATGGCATGATTGCAGGCTGAAGGGAAGGGGAGGGAAGTACAGATACCTCCGTCAGGAGAGAGATGCTCATCTGTGAAGGAGATCAGCAAGAAGACGGGAAGAGCAGAAGCGTGGGGAGGGGGAGGCAGAGACCTTAGTGGTCGACACAGGAGACAGCCTGGGAGCTCGGACTGGGCAAGCAAGCCCTTTCACACGCTGCTGCTGCACGACATCGTCCCATGCTCATGGATGAGGTTTTACTAAAGAAAGCCAATGTGTAAGTCGGACTATAGCACCCCCATGTGCCACTATTAATTGCCGATAACCTTGTTACCAAGGCTGACTGACATGTCAAGAGCGAGAACATCACGATACAAAGCTGGACGTAGATTTGCGACACCCTTTTCTTGATTTTTATTAGCTCTCTGAATCTCCCTTTTCTCTCTCAAGGTTTGAACAATTCTAGTCTCTGTACATGATATCCTCCTAAACATGTGTGTCCTTGCTAATGTATCCTTCCCGAGCTCGACGCTGTTCGTCGGACTTTACCCTCAAAGCGAGGGTTGTCTTCAAAAGTACAATTTCTGTTGTGTCGAGCTGCGAGCTCTTACATGACTTTGATGTCTCTTCTAATGCGATCCTTGAACAAAACTGTGCAGTAGCAAAACCAAAAAAATCAGACGACCTCTCCTATCATGTCGGTCTTTCTCTTTCTCCGCCATTCTCGGCTCGGCGTTTACCAGAGCATCATCCTTTGCTCGCGAGTACTCCTTCTGTGTGTTCCATGGCTTCAATGCTCCTGGGAAATCCGTAGCCTGGCGGCTTGTGTAAACACTGTCCATCCGGCTTTGTGGCTTGTCCGTAAAGGGGGTCGATGAAGTATATCTCATGGTGGACACACGAGTCCCTCGTGAATAGTCCGATATCTCCAGGTAGTAAGCAGCGGCGGCGATCCTCACCCTACGAGGATCGGCGCGCTGTTGATGACGAGCCCGATGCACTTGCATCTGTGGCTGATGGCAATCCAGTGTTGTAACGTTTTATGTCTGTAAGCGTCACAGGTCAGTGGATTGCGTCTTGTGTTTTGTGTAGTAACGGGCTTTTACGGACCAAAAAGTGTGTGATTCATCCGGCCTGGACGAAGTTTCCGTGGAAGGGAGCCTGCTGGGGGCTCAGGGTCTGTCCGATCTTTCCCATGGCAGAGAGGTGGTTGTGAGCATCCTTGATGAGCTGGAGGTTCTTGACATCCTCGGGCTGGGTGAAGCCGCGGACGAGGTCCTCCAAGGCCTGGCGGTGGGACATCCACTCGTCAATGAGGGGCTTGGTGGACTGCTCCTCCTTGATGGCAGCCTCGACGATGGCAGCCTTGGCAGTGACCTTGCGGGAGGCAGGGGCAGGGGCAGCCTTGGGCGCGTCCTTGCGCTTGCGGCCCTTGGCGACCTGCTGGCCGCTGGAAGCGGTGTTAGGAGATCCGGGGACGCCGTTGTCATTGTGGACACGGCGCATGTGGTCCTTGAGGTTCCATTGGCGGGGGAATCCGTTGCCAGGCATGGCACGATCGCATCCATCATAGGAGCACAAGAAGGGCTTGTCACCGTGGCCGTGCATGGCGTGGGCCTCACGCTCGTGACGGAGAAGGCAGGCAGTGGAGGAGAAGCGGGCGTTCTCGCAGGACTCAATCTTGCAGCGGTAGGGCTTCAGGTGAGAGTCGACAAACTTGCTGTAGAGGGGAAAGACGCAATCGTTAGTCATACACGGGGAAAAGGGACATGCTGGCAGGTTCCCAAAAAGGTTCAACTCACTCATAGTTGCACTTAAGCTTCTCGGGCTTGTGGTTGCAGCTGGATTCTCCCTCCCAGGGGCAGTGGAACAGGCCATCGGCCTGAGGAGTGGCGTTCTTGTACAGAGGGTGGTCCCGGGCAGAGTCACCGTCGTTGGTGTTGCGGCGGCTAGGGAAAGCCGGAGGCAGAGCAGCATCACCGACGATAGTGAGGACGCTTCCAGAGAGTTCATCGCCCATAAGCTCAGGGCCAAACTTGCCGTTGGCGCTGTAGATTGATGCCGAGTCAGAGGCTTGCTCGAGGGAGCAGCTGATCTGAGGAACATACCTAGGAGACTGGCTCTGAATGATGGGAGAAACGTGCTCCGAGTGGGAAGGCGAAGACATGAGAGGGGCGGACAGCCACAACTCCTCAGGGGTCTGAGCAGGAGAAGACAATTGGGATTCCGCGGGGCTGAAAGAGTTCCAGGAGGCAGAAGGAGAGTGAGCTCCAAGGCTGGAGTCAGGGTCCAGCTGCATCTGA